TTTGGGTCATGAATAATGGTATAACACAATGGGAATATATGATACGTTGTCAAAATTATGGCCCTATGTGGGGTACCCTAAATACCAGGAGCCATACTATAATAGGCTGGTAGAACACGAGAGCCTCAACATTACCATGACCCTGTGTGGTCACAGTCAGTGGTGGGGGCCTAACCTAATTTCTATTGCACAAGTGCGATCTACAAGAGTAATAAATGATATCACCTGATTATAACTTGTGTGTTTCCCTAACCAGGTACAGATTCCCAAAAAAAACCGTGTGCGGCTGATAGGTCCACCTCAAATTTGGACGACAACGTGAATAGCGGACATGAATGGGTGGGTACAATCTTCTTGCCTAGTATTGGCTTTCTCAAAATCATCACTATATAATCGGTTACAGGACCCCAAAATCCCTCAAAATCCTTCTATGTTCCTAAGGCTCCCTAGGGCCCCCACTGTTTGAAGAAACCTTGCCCCCTGAAGTGGGCCACACATGGTACGCACCACATGTTGCACCCCCCTATACACCTTCTACCCCAGAAATTGTGGTATATTTGAGAACCTGAGTGGTACAAGATTTCCTCCATCAGCAGTAGGATGACATATCCTTATCGGTTTTGTGGTCCTGTAATCGGCACACTTGTTGAAAGCACACAACCACCCTCCGAAAATTCATGGGAACATTAACTAACCTGACCTGCCCACAGACAGCTGGGTTAGAATGAACCCTAGCGTGAAATTTGTTTCGGATCCAATTTCTTCTTTTTCAAGCACAGAACCTCCACTGAAATGGCGATTTTCTCAAAATAAGCATACCCTCAGACACCCTAGGGAAAGTCACCTTACAAGGGGGCTTGCGGATTGCATATAGGAGTTGTTTGAGAAACACCGACCTGCATTCGTCTAAGCCGTGCTGCAGCTTTCCCAGATCAAGTTTGGGCCAGCAGCATGGCTATACAAACGAAGAACCATGGAGAAAAACAGGGAAGAAGCGAACCCTTGTGAAGGCCCTGAGACTTGGACAAAAATCAACTTCAACCCTTTTAAAGCCGTGGACACACCAGTCACCAGACCCTCCGGGATCTGCATATGATGCAACTTCCGCTATATCCCAAGTCTACCGTACGGGGGTCCCGAAAGATAAAATAGGGTCCCCCGTCTTGGGGGTCCATACGGTAAAGATTAGAATAGATTGGGCTTACCCCAGTACACCCCAAACCCTAAAACCCCTCAGCCATATAGTCAAAAGCGGTACCCTCCTAACCCCTGGACATCACGCCCTCGGCCTAGCCTTCTGGCTTGGAAGCTCCCAGTCAGCAAAGCCATCAAAAGCCTCCCAACAAGATTAGCAATCACCTCAACTGCTAATCATGAAGCCCCCACCACCCTGATGAGAAATATTCTTAAGACACCATAGTGCACTAAGATGGTTACCCTAAACCCTAAACACAATTTATTCTTGCCAGGTGGTAGTTTTTGGTTTTAGGGGGAAGGAGTTCGGTCAGGGTTGGGGCTTTAGGGGCGCAAGCTCGCGGAGTCCCATAATCCCAAACCTCCAAGGCTAAGTTAAGGGTGTATAGTCCCCCTTAAGTAGATAGAATATGGGGTATATGGGGATAATATACCCAAATCCATATTCTATCTACTTAAGGGGGATTGTAACCTTTAGAGTTTAGGATCCATGTGTTAGTCTTTGTGTATTTTCACTGAAATACTACAACTTAGGACTTTATGTACGTAGTCCAGGTACAACCAGTAAGGCACCACAGGCCTCAAAGAAATGCCTTGGGGTGTTGCTGGCGGGGTAAAGGGGTTGAGGCAGTGCTCTCAAAGACACGAAGCCCTGACAGTAGTGGCCTCGTGCTACATAAATACAGAGCCCTAAACCCAAAACTTAATCCCGAAACCCAAACCCCACATCCAAAACTCTGAATCCTAAATCCCACAGCCTAAGCCCTATCAACGTCTAACCCCCATATATCCCCCAAATAACCACAATGTATCCCCCAATAGAAGCCCCCAGATAATCCCCAGGTTACTCCCTATAACCTCCTAGCTTCCATTTCAAATTCCATTTGCTTTTCCATTTGATTCTCCATTATTAAGGTAACCCTAAACCCTAAAACCCCAGGTTACTCCAAACTCCGAACAATGCTCAAGCCTTCCACGCAGCATCCACTGAAGAGGCATCCACGAGGTTCACGAATGCGTAGCCAAGGTTTGCCTACGGCGAAAGTGTATAGTCCCCCTGAAGTACATAGAATATGGCCTTGGGTATATTATCAGAAGATCCCCATATACCTCATATTCTATCTACTTAAGGGGGCCTATAGGTTTAGGGGTATATAGGGTTTAGGATTTAGGGTTTGGGGTTTGTGGGAACAGCCGAAGCAGGCCAGGTGGGAATTTAGAGTTTAAGGTTAAGCTTAGGTGGGAATTTAAGGTTTAAGGTTCAGGCTTGAGGTTAAGAATTTAAGGTCTCCTGGTGGTGTGTGCGGATTAGGGTCTCAGGTTTTAGCAATCTAGGGAAGCCCTACACCTCAGTTTTAGGTTCAGGGCAGTTCCAGCCTACCTACTCATGACTGTCTTCACAGCCCCGTTACAAGCCCCCCTAGTTCCCTAACTGGGTGGGTTATACTTACAATGAACCTCCAAGTACTCCCTTCACCCCGCCCCCTAAATCCCAACTAAAGCTGTAATATAATAGTTCCCACTTTTGTGCCGCTCCTCATAATTTCTTGAACACCCTCAGCCACCCTGAACCTGAAACCCTTAGTGCCCTCTGAAACGCACACCTGGCGCTTGAAGTCAATGGGCAGGTAGACGAAGTCCTTACCAGTGCTTAAGAGAAATGGGGAAAGTGGATCCCTAGGATAACCCCTGTATGATAGTTTCCCTGGTAGGGGGACCCCAATATAGACCTCAAACTACTCCAACCTTTATTATATAGGGCCTCCAAACAGGTACCCCTAATTTTGGGAAACCGTCACATACATAGATGGATAGCTGTTTCTTTCAGTGTATTGAGTCTCGTCTAAAAGTCCCCATTAAAGTCTAAACCCTAATCTCTAAACCATGAAGCCTAAACCCTAAACCCCAAACCCTACACCCTAAATCCTAAACCCTAAACCCTGAAGCTTTCACCAGTGAGAGTCGTAGCGACCCGCAAAGCCTTGGCTGTCCAGCATCGCCAGAAACATCCTCAGTTTAAGGGTCCTAAGGGGCTGAAGGTTTAGAGAGGCCCCTTTATGGATTCCTGTTAGGGAACTTCAATGACTGTTCGGGCTCAGGGCGTCGGGGTTAGGGATTAGGGTTTAGGAATTAGGTCTAGAGTCTAGGGTTCAGGATGTAGGTTTGGAGGCTCCAAGGTTTTGGGGTGCTGGGGCTTAGGGCATCAGTACTCAGAGCATGGAAAGGCTTGAAGGCCGAGGGGCTCTTAAGGTGTTCAAGAATTAGCTTTTTGCTATTACTGTGAAGCTTCTGTAGGGTAATTACGGGCGTATCACATGCAAATGAGCGGGTCCCTCAAGGACAGCTTTGGGTTTCGAAGAAGTTTAGGGCCAATGTTGAATAATTGGGGATTAGGCTTCTTAGAACAATTTGTTCAACAATGATCCAGGTCTCTCACGCGTGTAATTGTTGGGCACATTGCGCAGCATGACGGTGCTCCGCTTCTCCTCGGAAGGATGGGTGCTCCTGGTCTCAGCCTGCTGTGCTTTGCCGTCATCCTTGGGATCTTCAATAACAATTTCCTGAGGCGTGGCATGCTCCTCGCTGAACTTCCCGGGAATGTAAGCCTCCTCACCGCCAAACGTAACCACCACAGCCGAGTCCGACATCGTGCGTCCACGCAGCTGCCTGAAACACTCCATGAGACCCACGCCCTCCTCCACGTCGAGGAACGTGGACTTCACCACCACGTTGCAGGCGCCCTCACTGGGGACAGGGCCACGCGGCGAAAGCAAGGCAGAGGAGCAGCTTGAAGCAGTGTCGGCGTCGCTGTGTTCGGGTGTCAGAGTACTATTCGAGGACTCAGTCTTCACAAGCATCATAGGGGGAGCCAGCATGGTCGACAGGCGCGGGGAGGAAAAAAGGTCACTATACAGTCGCACTTGATGACGACGTTAGGTCCTGAGCCTGACTAGCTGTAGTGCAAGCACTCCCTTGTAAGACGACCCCTGGGCATGGAAGAGACTGTACTTGGGGAGGCCCTCTGTCAAGATGGGCCATCATACCCTAATCTCCTCCCAATATGCCTCCTTAGTTCTGGAGGCTGGAGTCAAGCATCTTTCATTTTGCCAGCAACTGGCTCTCTCACCCCTGGCCTGCGAATGAGCAGGTCACAGGGGAACAAGGAACAGTTTGAGTGCAACCACCCCTTCGCAAGTTTGGCAGCCCCACAGTGCTACGCATTAGCAGCACGTACTAAGAGAGACATTCATGAGCCATGGTCCATTGGCCGTCTCCTGTACACCAGTACAGCTGTGCAATGAGGTTCCAGACGTGCCCCTTGGCACATCAGAGACCCCGAGTGTTCGGCTTCAGGGGCTGGGGAAACCAAGCGAAAGGTCAAAACGGCAGACACGCAAACTACCAGGCCTGTACAATCCCTTCTGGACTCATCCTGCTGGAGCTCCCTACTGACGATTTAGATTTAAAGAGACGTCAGCAAAGCAACAGCAGGAAGAGGAATAAACAATCTTTAAGATGAGCTGGATGCAAACCATTCCAGGCAGGTCCCCCTGATTGTGCTAGTCATAAGATAACAACTTTGCATACACTGCAGACTAGTGTAGCAGGGGTCCCCGCTCATAAAAACTCATCTTCCTGCTCATACTTAGCTGGGAAAAGGGGACTGGATGCCCATACTGTTCCCTAGAAAAACCCAATTAAACCACTTTTCTGGATGCCTATACTGTTCCCTGGAAATCCCAAGTAACCACCTTTCGTAATCTTGTAAACCCGTTCCCGCGTTCCCAACGAAGCATGAGTAAGCCTTAGGCGGCCATGCTAGGGGCCTTGATCTTCTTGGTTGGCTTGGGGAAGTTCTTGCGCACACCGTCCTTGGGGATATAGGAGATAAATAGGGATATATAGGGGATATAAAGGCAGATATACAATCTAGGGTTTAGGGGTATTACTTCCCCTGATGGAGTCCTTGAAGATAACGGGTTTGTACTCGGCCGGCACGCTTTTGTGCATCACGGGGCTGTTTCGAAATCTTTCAACATGGGCCTGGCACGCGATGCAAGCTTTGAATCACAAGGTCTGCAGGATATGAAGCCCAGATAGGAGTAATAGGCTAAGAACGAAGCTATAGTCTAAATTCCTAGTATCCCCATTAACAACCCCTCAAATAGTCCCCTGTATAAGCCCCTGAAAAGCCCGCTTTAGAGAGTTTAGACTATAGCTCAAGTGGAATCCAAACGGATCCCTCCCTACGGATACCCGAGCTGAGTAGTTTTTTGGCGTTTTAAACCCAGTAAGATTACTTTCCTGATATAGAAAGCAGGATAATTAGAATCTTACTCTGTACTGGGTAGCATAGTAGCTCCAAACAAAATACTACGCGCTGAACTTCTGAGAGGAAGCCTCAAATCCTTGGTGCGGTCCGCTCCACTTTACTTGGCATACCTGCAGGTGGCGCACTTTAAACGTAACAGTTCAGGTATCTTCTTCCGGGCTTAGGGTTGGGGATTTAGAATGTGCGGTTTACGGCTTAGGATTTAGGGTTTGGGGTTTAGGATTTGGGTTCCGGGTTTAGGGTTCAGGTCCATATTTTGGGGGGTCCGACAGAATAGGCCTAGGAATTTCTCTGACTGTCCCCCATAGCACTCCTTGAAAAGGACTCCCATAAATCATAAGTCCCTGCAGGTCCAAAATGCCCCCGTTTGCTGAGAAACCCCCACTAGACCCTAACCCCTAAACCCTCAACATAAACCCTTACCCCTAAACTAAACCTAAAGCCTAAGCGTAGGTTTTAGGCTTTAGGGTTTAGGGTTCAGGGTTTAGGGTTTAGGTTTAGGTTTAGGGTTTAGGGTTAAGCTAGGGGATCCCTGATAGTAACTTACTGGTGCTTGGCAGGGAATACGGGAAGTTAATCCTCATGAAATTCCTATGCAATATAACTCCTTTTTCCTACTAAGAAGGTAAGTGACATAATCTTTTGGGGTACAAGAGGACGGACACCTGGTTTTGGAAAATACCCATCAAATCACCAGGGCTTAGGGGTTCACGTGCTGGAACCAACACTACTGATTAACCCTAAACCCCGAACCCTACTTGATTTCAAACCCTAAACCCTAAACCCTAAACCCTGTAAGGTACCAGGTAGCAGAGCAAAACCATTCACAGTACCTGATGCATGGATTCTTCTACCGGACCGCCCTCCAGGTTCTCCCTTACCTAACCCTAATTACTGTAGTCTCCTTCGACCTATAATAGAAAATCATCTTTAATAATTCCTTAGGGTTCTATTATAATAGAAAAATCATTCCTAAGGAGACTACAGATAAGGCTTCTTCATCCTGACATACCTTTAATCAAGGGCAAGATAGTGGTAGTAGGGAACTCCAGACGTTGTTCGGATGGGAGGAAGGGCGTCCCACGCCTGAAGGTTGAGGTTTAAGGTTTAGGGTTGAGGGTTTGGGGTTTAGTGTTTGGGGGGGGGGTCTATACTTCACTGTACTTTCTGCTTTCTAGCCATAGAATCCACACCAACTACATAAATGTGAAAGCATCGCTCACAAAGCTCATAAAACTTGAAGTGAAAACCACAGAACCCCAACACTTATCCCCTGCCCTTAAACATAAACATCCCCAGCCCCCCCCTAAAAAACACACACACACACACACCTACCTCCCAAACATATGATATATTGGTTGGGGGGATATATTCTATTGCTGTTGGGTGGCGGCGGTTATTATTAGCCCTCAACCTTAAGAAACGTGCTAGTTTACGTTGTGTTGTGCTTTCCATTCCGCTACATGTTTCCCTGTATAACCCCTTTGAATGGCCTACTATTCTCCAAGGCCTAAACCCTGTTACTAGGTAGACCGGAGATTCACAGTCAAGGCGAGGGGATTGGCCCATGACCCCTTAACCCTAAGCCCTAAAGCACGTGCCTTGTGGCTGGGCAGCGACCAGCTGGCGAAGCCATCAAAGGTAGCCCAGGCAGCATCCACGGCAGAGGCATCCACGAGGTTCACAAAAGCATAACCCAAGTTGGCCTGGTTTAGCATTTGGGGTTCAGATTTTATACAGGGTTTAAAGTTTAGGGTTTAGGGTTCTGGGTTTATACAGGTTGTACAGGATGCAGGTCCTGCCTGTTTCTTAGCACTATTATCATTGTTATTATTGTTATTAATATTGTCTGAATCTTAGAGCTTGGAAGTCCTCAGTCATTGCAGGAGACACTTTCACCTTCCTAAGTTACCCCCTAGTACACTATAGTACAATATAGTATATGGTAGTACATTATAGTACATGAGAATATATTACGGTATATTCTGACACGTTATAGTACACATCCGAAAATGCTGAAGATGTGAACCACGAACCTTGACTAAGTAACTAACTAACCTTTAGACTATCTTACTTCATTAACCAACTAATTCTGTTCCGGCGCCAGCAGCCCCAAAATCCAAGGGACCACGAACCCTGAACTCACCCTGAACTCTAAACACTAAACCCTTTACCGTAAACCCTGAACCCTAAACCCTAAAGCCCTAAATCCTGAACCCCAAACCCTGAACCCCAAACACTAATCCCCAAACCCAACCCCCGGCGCCTGGCGCCGGAAGTCGCAGGGCAGGTAGACAAAATCGTAGCGCCCGGCAAAGCCCTGGTTGTCGAGCAGGGCGAGGAACATCCTGGGTTTCGGTGTATAAGGGTTCAGGGTTTAGGGTTGAGGGTTTAGGGTTTAGGGCTTAGGTTTGAGGGTTTCGGGTTTAGGGTTTCGGGTTTAGGGTTTAAGGTGTGTAACCGTATGCGCGCAGTGTGTGCGCCTTTTCTTTAGAATTAGGGGG